AGGGAACAAGTTTGCAAGCAACTGAGATCGCTGCATCTTTCAATTACTGCTATTTGGGAGTGGCTCCTATGTACCTGGACCCGAACAACATGATCCCGGAAGAGGTGGAGAGGTCAGCCGCTGATGTGATGGGTGAAAAAATTATGTTCCCCCGAGCTTACTTTTCGGAGTGCCGGGCGGATTGGAAGTTCATGAAGGACATCGGGGACATGTGATTGGAGTTTCGTACATGCACACTGATACTTTCAAGCTTCGGATGTAGGAGCTGCTATGCCTGGGTGCAGCCTGGAACTGCAAGCAGTTGTGTCACATGTGCCAAGCCAAAGACAACGACTACCTCAAGTTTCCTTCGCAACTACCGTTCCTTCCTCGACGAGGGTGGCAGGACTTCAAGTCAATCTGCAAACCCTACCAGGGCTTCCGAAGCTCCTTGTCTTCATGCATGTACACAATCATGATCGCAAAAAAATGTTTACGGAATCGATCTTCAGCTTCATCCTGAGGCCATGTGCTGAGCATCAGGGGCTTTCATCATTCTGCACTTCGATGGTGCAGCATGCACAGCATAAATCTTGGCATATGCCACTGGGTGGTGGGATCGGTGATGCTCATGCTTTTGAAGAACGAGGACACTCGGGATTCATGTGCACACACCTACAAAGCTAAACACGTGTGTACTGTTCAATTTCAATTGCTGCAGGACATCTGGCCGGCACCCGCCGGCACGCTTGCGAAGGAAAGGACGAACGTCAGACTGAACATCGCACACTCGGAGTTCATGGAATGGACTCGGGCGAACAAGATCGAGCAACATGCTGCACAATATGTGTACATGTGTGCACAGCAGCAGATCATGGCCTGCTAGGTGGCCTGCACATGTGTAGTTATCAAAAATAGCCAGGCACTCGCAGCCCGAATTTCACGCACGAAACCTTCGAGATTCTGTATCGGGCTATGCAGAGATGAGCATGAAGGCTCACAATGCCCCTTGGTTTGCATTAGGTTTCGACTTCGGCGCCTACATGTGCAATTTGTGCCACATACCATGTTGTGACTTTAGGCTCGTGTCGTGACTGGATGGTTATGCCATCTACTGCTGAAGCTGTGCGACTCCCACGATTTTCGCTCGGACCGAGAGTTGTCTGAAATGGTGAAGACCGTGCAACATCGCTGCAAACAGATCGTTTATGGTTTGGAGCAGGGCTACGTTTTTTCAGGCCCTATACACCCTAACCCTGTAATTTGATGATCAGGTATTGGCTCAATGAGTTTTTCAACCGGATGGAAAAAAACGGGCGCTTTTTGAGCCCAAGTGGCAAAGCTGAGCTCGAGGAGGCATGCGAATCTTGGCAAAGGTTTTTTTGTTTTTAATGCTGTGCAGTGTGCACACATCAAACACGAACGTATGCTCAGGACAAATGCTGCATCAGCTATGCTGCACTTGCGACAATGGCAGCCCAAAGATCCGACCGATTGTGGCCACTGCGACCCAAGTTCCACGTGGCTTTCTGGCACTATCGATCATGTTAAGCATAGCATGGGTTGCAGCTCTATTGCAGTATGTTGATCTGAGGCGTTTCAAGAAATTGTTTTCATGGCCATGATGGATGGCACCACGGCGGCACATATGAAAACTTATACAATGAATTCCAACGCCTCAAAGTGCTATTTGCCAAGGTCAGAACCCGAAATATGGGCATACATTTAGAGATGAGGGGTACATGGGTGCGGCAAAAGGCAGGATGATGAAAGAATCATGTCATCGGATCATGGCTGCATCGTTTGATCCACCCTTGCCCCCTGTGCGACAGCCATTGCTCGACGATGCCATCGAGCAACTCTGGAAATGAGCTTCTTTCGACGTGCTTATGGTGAGCGATTCGGCAGCAAGTGGAGTGTGCATGGCAATTCTGATTTCAACCCCGGTTTGCTGTTGATTCGAGGTTCCCGAACATGCCCTAGACCGTCGAGCAGTGGGGCAAAATGATGAGCGAGTGGATTCCTCTAACCCCACTAAACCCAAAGCCTCAAGCCTAAGACTATACACGTTTAAAGTATGATTATATATACTATTCTTATAAAAATATATATAATATATTACATATATATTTATACGATTACATCTATTTATTGCCCACAATGGTCTCAGATAACGATTTCAATTGACCATGACTTTTCACGCTGAGGTCTCGTATGTTGATAACTTAGGAGCCTCTGGGTTTAAAAAGCCGGTATGGAGAGCCATGGACTCTATGCAGTATGGCTACTTCGGCTTGCAGGTGGCTCATCTTTTCTCTTCGTTTTGCTCGGCTTCCCCTGTGCAACTTTCAACTGGGATGTGTGTTTTCGCGGCAACTCCTTGACGAACACCGTCCTGGGCCTGACAATCCCTCTGCTCGCTCCCAGCAACAAGACAGAAGTCTTGCTTCGAATTTTTCTGTTGCTGAATTCCTTCGGCATGTTCACAGTGTCACTGCACTGGTGCTCAGACTTCGACTCATGGGCTATCGGCACGGTCATTTCGATTCTCTACCAGACTCTGAGCGGGATTGTGCTTGTTAAGTCTCACGTGCGAGAGCACGTTGCGTTTCACGCCGTCGGAACCGTTGCTTGCTACATGCTTCGGGCCGAATCTTCTAACTCACTGATGGAAGGCCGTCAATGGGCGGCAATCATGGTGTCAGTGGCGGTATTGTGCGTTTCCGTGATGTGGCTACTGGCCAGAGACCTTGCCGGAGAGGTTGCATTGAAAACGCTGGAAGATCATCTGGGTGCTTTGCGGATTCCGCTCGATAAGCTTGAGCAACGCACATCGGCACTATCAAGCGACGCAAGCACCCGAAACTCTTCTGGCTCACGCACGCCAGGCTCGCCACTAAAAGTGAGCAAGTTTGATCTGCCTGACGGCGGTCCGCCGAATTTGGAGCTTCTACATTATGTCAGTGAAGGTTCCTTTGGCAGAGTCTACTGCTGCAATTGGGGTGGCCAGCGCGTAGCTGCCAAGGTAATGGCCTTGCAGCCAGGGCACCGAGTCGATCCGATCAGAGACTGGGCTTTTGGGAGTACCATACTTTACTACTTTTTTCTCAAAGGAACTACTTCATGAATACAAGTTTACACTTGTTTTACCTGTTATCTCCCTGGTTACTGAAAAGCTTAGGAGAGGCTACTCTTTGCCAGAAGCTCTCCCACGACAACCTCGTCCAGACCTACGAATTCTTTGAGCACTCGGCAGACACCGCGGATCCAGGCTGCAGCGTGCAGGTCTGGATACTCCAAGAATGGTGCGACAAAGGCACTCTTGGCAGTTTCTGCACCATCCCTCGTTGGGATTCGAGTGGCCTGAGATACGTCAGGTGCATTATGTCAGATGTGGCGAAGGCCTGCTGCTATTTGCACTCAATTGGCGTCATCCATGGCGATCTCACGTCGCAAAATGTTCTCCTGCAGACACGTGCGCCGGGCCACGCAGGGGAGATAGAGTTTGTTTGCAAGCTTTGCGACTTTGGTTTGGCACGGGTCTTGGAGCAGGGTGTCACCTCACTGATGACTGCACAGCTGGGGACCGTTTCGCACATGCCACCCGAACTCCTGGACTTCGATGACGGGCGCCTGAGCATGAAAGCAGACGTCTATGCCATGGGTATCCTGCTCTACCAGGTCAGGGGCCCAGAAAAGAACGTAAGCATAAGCCTTCTAAAGGGATATCCCTACCTTATTGACCTTCATTATGAGGGGGTTTATATGTGATATCCCTATCCTCGCGTTTGCTTATGTGCTTTTTTGGGAGCCCTGCCAGGCAGTTTTGGGAAAGCTCCCTTATGCAGGGATGCTGGCACCGCAAATCATCGCCTTTGTGGGATCGGGAGGCTGCCTTGAATTACCTCCAGAGCTACCTCATGAGGTTCACAGGATGTTTGAACTCTGCATCTTGGTAGCTTTGGATCAGTCGCCTTCAACTGTTTGGTGTGCCGCAATCCTAGTCTGACCGATGTCGTTTCCTTTAAAGAATTTGCAATCCAAAATTTAGTTTGTCCGTCGGAAGGTAGGATGTAAGGCCCTATAAACCCTAAACCCCTAAACCCTAAACCCCTAAACCCTAAACCCAGCTGTAAGGCACAGCCAGATCCTCGAGTCACCGTCCCTCTGCTCTGCAGCTTCTGAACCATTGCGCTGCGATTTCACCGTGACGGGCATATATAGGGTTGCTAGTAGGTATGTTTCATGCATGGCCGCCACTTTGGCCTTCTGAGTCATGCGAAGAGAGAGATTTATATACCATGCGTGCTCAAGGCATGCACTTGCTACTCCGTTATCGACCCATTTTCCTAACAGGGGCTGTTCCAAGCTGCACATCCGACTGGCTCATTTTCTCGATTCCGTAATTCCGGATTATGCCTCCACTAAAGGGGGGGAGCTTCATATTGTAATCCAAGGTTTCCTTCGTCAAGTAAGGGAGGTCTTGGGCTCAAGGTTCCGGGGCAGCTTGGACGACAGGGAGGCGCCGGCTGCTCGCCTCGCTGGCCCGCCGCTGTCAAGTAGTCTAATATCGTTGAATCCCGCAGGAAAGTTCAAAAGAGGTGTGTGGTGTGCGGTAGGTATGACTGTCTGTGGACACTGAAACAGCAAGGTGTGAGCATCAGACCCCTCCGGAAACGCTTGGCAGGCGAAGGTTTGCAAGCGCCCTGCTTTTGACACCTATAGAAAGCCCGCAGGAGGCCCTCTCCCTTATGATTCCCCAAAACCCTCTCCGTTATGGTAGAGCTTCCGAACACATCTGGAATCCAGTGCCCTCAAAGTGAAGTTTCCCCCTGCCTGGAACCCTAAGTCCTAAAAGTTCTTAGCCCACTGAAGTTCGTGCCCACGAGATTTCCGGTTCAAGCTTTAGGATCCCACACTCCTTCAACACCGAAGAGTTCAGGGCCAGGGAAAACCCAAAGCTCAAAGCCTAAAGCCATGGAGCTCAAGCTGCATAGGCTAAATGGCTGGGGTGTTCGCAGGCTCTACACCTGGTATACCCAAGATCGCGTTCTGGCAGAAGGCAGGTGTCGTTTCTCTCTCTTGCCCTCTGTGTCCCTAAGCCCTAAACGCCCTAAACCCCAAACTTTCATTCCTAAACCCAAACCCCCTAAGGCCAGCAAGCCCTAAATGCCGTACTTCTGCCTGACTGGGAAGTTCTTCGTAGTCCACGTGAGTTTGGCAGCTGGTTTTCGCATGTGCATTGTTGCTGCTCTTCTTCTATTCCAGGGGCCAGACTAATTTGGCGGTTCCTTATTATAAGTATGGTATAATATACCCCAAAGTCGGTCCTCCATCTGTTACTATGTAGCGCAACTTTAAGCTGCTAAACCCTAGACCCTGCAGTTCCAGCCCCGATGTCCGCAAGAAGGTTTCAGATGTCCACCTGTTCTGATCCGCGGTCATAATTGGGGTCGTAGTCAGAAGATACTACCTCCCCCTAAACCCTAAACCCTAGACCCTACTCCGGGAGTCACCGAAAACCACCTGAAAGCCGCGGAACACTGGCGGCTTTCGGCTGAGGCCCCTGAGCATTGGTGGTTGTGTAAGCTTGCGTTGTATGTCTGCTTGTGCAGGCGAAGGATTGTTAGTATAGAGTCCTCAAAATTGCCTGCATGATTCCTTAGGGCTCCTTTTTTTTGTTATTAATTTACGTACTATGAAGGAGCCGTTAACCCTATTCTATTAAGGCCCCTAGATTCGGCCCTTCACCTGGCTACAGCTGCTGCCAGAAGCCAAAGCCCTCAACCCTAAACCCAGCCTACTTGGAGGATCAGGGGACTTAGGAAGTAAAGTTATAAATCCCCTAATTGGGGTTATAAGTTATAAGTTTTTATAAGCATAGTTGCCTTTTTTACAGCGCTAGTTACTAAGTCCCATGATCCTTTAAGTAGACCCCACGATGTAGCGCAGGTTTCGGGAGAGCACCGTTTATCACTTGGGTCCAAAATATCGTGACCAAGAAAGCCGTTGTAGTATGTAAATGCAATTCACAAACCGAAATCTGGACCCACACACGAAATCCTGCAAATACTGTACACTTGAGGCCTTGACTTTAAGTCCGAAACCCAACCCCTGTAAACGCATAACCCCGTGAAGCCCTAAAGCCCTAGCCCCTAAATCCTAAAAACCCGAAAAATCCTTAAATCCTGAACCTAAACCCCTAAACCCTAAACCCCTAAACCCCTAAACCCCTAAAACCCTGAACCCGCATCGCGGCCGGAGGTCAGAGAGCACAGGAGGCCTTCAACCGGTCGTCCGGGGCACATGGGGGTTTCGGGCTGTAGGGTTTTAGGGTTTAGGGTTTTAGGGTTTTAGGGTTTAGGGTTTTAGGGTTTTAGGGTTTAGGGTTTAGGGTTTAGGGTTTTAGGGTTTAGGGTTTTAGGGTTTAGGGTTTTAGGCAATTCCGGGTCGGCAGAATCCGGTACTCGTACGTGAGACTACCGCCATGACAGTTGCATGCAGCTTGCAGGAACAGAATCTAAAAAACTACATCGGCTCAGTACTCATCCATAACGCCACGAATAAAGGAAGCAGCAGCAGAGCGCAGCTCAGCATCCTCATCAAGTTGACAGCGTATCTTGTTTCGAAGAACATGGAGTTCGTGAGGGATTGTCGATAAAGCATCCTTGGCCGCCTGATCAGCTCTAGAGTTGTGGAAGATCATCCATAAATCCTTGGGGCCCACAGCAGAGTGGACTGATCGATGAGCCTTGACCCAAGATATGATGAAAGTATGGTTCCGTCTTTTCTCTAAAAGTTTCGCCGTCGTAGCCAATAGGTCTCTGTCCGGATGATTGATCCATTGTTTCATCTCAAAGCCATGAGTCTGGATTTTCAGGATGTCTCGAACCACAGCAGAATTGTCACAATACACATGCAGGTTGCAACAAATGGCAAGAGCTGTATTAACTGCGAAAAGTTCCGCACGAAAAACTGACTGCTTCACCCCAGGTAGGATGCCTTTAGCCAGAATTTGGTTTTGGGGGCCTGATTCCGCCGCACGTGTCACAGCCCAAGAACATGTCCTCAGCTCATCACTCTCATTATCCAAGGCAGAACCATCTGTAAAAATGTACTGCACCGCTGAACTGTCCCAATCAATGGCCACATCATCCATCTGCAAGTTATTGAGACCCTGTCGGTATTCGTCAACAAGAGGCAACTTCGGGGAAAGGGCCCCAAAAAGCCGATACTTAGGAAGATTGCAAATACACTGCCAGTTCTTTCCATGACGAAGGTGTTCAGTCGCAGGGCAATGAAAAGCACGATGTACCATAGTATCCTCTTCCCCACAGAACTCGCAGTTGGATTCAGAATTCTTCTGGACTTTGCATTTGCGGTTGTTTGGAAAAAGACCTCCCAATCGCATCTTGTTGATGAAGCCCTCCATGAGACGATCTTTATGCTTGGGGAAAACACTCCTTGACAGTGAGAAAGAATCCAGATCACCCAAATGTTGTTTGGTTTGAAGAAGGGGTAACAACTTGTCTTCCCAGGAGTTCAAGATTCGTTCTGCAAACTGTGAGACTGTGATATCCCAAATATTGAAGGTCCAGCCATCTGGGGTTTGGCACTTCCCATCCGCATATAAAGCCCATCCAAGTTCATGAAGTTGATTTTGCACAAGTCCCACCGATCCTTTGGTCTTGCCTTTGAAGAACTTTTGCCCATCCACAACAAGAGCCCAAACCTTCTTGGTGTCCTCCGGGTGCTGAGCGAACATTCTCAGGAAGGCAGCAAACCTAACTTTGGCCACCACAAGAAAAGGTTCATAGCACGTGCCCGAAAACAACGGCGCCATGTAGTGAAGGTGGTACTGCTGTTTGCCCCAAACTGTATGGTTGCTTTTTGCTCGTACATCCTTGAGAAAGTCCTTTCCAGTAGCCCAGCATTGTGCACCAAAGAAGACCATCGGGAAGATTCCTCTGGTCAATATGGCAGTTTTCCGGCGAACATCCCATGGCATATACTTCAAGCGGTTCAGCAGCACTTTGGACTTTTCCCACCTGTCATTCCTGGTTTCAACCGAGGCCCGATTTGACGTTTGCAAATTCACTCCCAGATTCTGTAGGTTGCTTGCCAGTCCAATGTTAATACCGTTGTTCACCAAATTCCCCCGGAGCGCCCTTGCCAACTTCATCGACGAGGCAAACACATGTGACTTGGGTAGTGAAAGAATGAGGCCACATTTCCTTGCCAATGTTGCAATCAACTGAATAGCATCAAGCAGCTTTGTAGGTTGTTTGGTGAGCATCATCCAATCGTCCACATAAGAGAAAATCTGCACCTCAGTCTTCTGTTTGACATACCTTGTGAAGCAAAGGGTCATCAAGATCATCTGTACCACTGCAATGGGGCATCCTTCTGGCACACCCACCGATGAGTAGATTTCCGAGCCCCAGGACTTCCCGCAAGTAAAATGTCTTTTCAAAGACCCAAGAAAAGAAGAATAAGGCATCCAGACAGTATCCAGTCCCAACTTCTTGTTGATTTGCTCCAGTAGGGGTCTCGATAAAGTATTGTAAGCCTTGGAGAAATCCAGTGATATACCAACCAGATCAACCTGTGTCAACAAAGCTTCTTCAAGCTGGAGCTGGATGGCAGCCGTCATATCTGCTGATGATCTCCCAGGGACCGACCCATATAAGGAATTTGGGAGGATTGTTTTGATGTGCTGTAAAACTTTTCTCGTGATAATTTTTCCCCACAGCCTAAAAACCGAAGCCAGGATCGTGATAGGCCGAGTTGAAGAAATGTCACCAATTGTGTCATCTTTGCGAAGCAACGCCATTCTTGCATGCACCAAACCATCTGGCCATTTTCCAACAGCTGTAAAAAGATTCAGCATCTGAAGAAGATACGGCTTCAAAGATTCCGGAATATTCTTGAGCTCGTAGTTGCTAAAACCATCCATTCCTCTGGCTTTTTGGACCGGAAGTTTCTTGAGCGCCCATTCCAATTCCACCATTGAAAAAGCAGTATCCATCCGGGGAAGAGAAGGTAGAGCAGCAATAGCATCCTGGATCATGACATCATTCATCGGTTCATCTCTTTTTGTATTCCAGAACTGGTTCCAGTATGTGTGAGCTTCCTGTAAGATCACCTGGGGTATTGCCGTAGGAAGAACCTGACAAACAACACCAGACTGGATTTGACCCTTGATCTTCTGGAGCTGAATTTTGCCTTGATGTGACTTGACCACTTTCGCTTCTGCACCATTTTGTTTCCACGTAGCACCAAGTTTGATACACTGAAGGTCATCATCACAAAGGATGCATCTCTGAGGTCCTTTTTTCTTCGTCCGGCACACTGTCACATGGAGTGGAACTGACACATCCAGCGAGTCCACGCGAGGATATCCAGGGGGCTTGATTGCCTTGAAGTGTTTCGAAGCTCCTTCTTTCCAGTCCTGAGCAAAGACCTGCGACACATGATTATGCCTATGCTTTCTAGTACAATCACGCCACTGAATCTCACGTTCTCGCAGTTGTTGAAACATCCAGGATGCCTCAGCTACTGTAGGTGGTGAGAGGGGAAACGAAGGTGCCACCTCCTTCATCCACCACTTCTGAAAACATCCCGAGAATCCAGACGAACGCAAGATCGATCGCCACGTAGCCATCAAAGATAGCTGTCTCCCAGAGAACTCTGTCGCAGAGGGGTCCGTGCCATCCAAACATTGTCTCTGGCTGATGTAGGTCTGTAGACGGCGAATTTGTCTGATCCTCTGCCTCAAAGTCAAGGACTGCTCGTCACCAGTAGGGTTGAATTCTCCCACTCTAGCCTTCTTGATTGGCTGCTGGGGGGCCTCTTTTCGAAATCGTACTTGGCCACGACCACAAAAGCGAGCTCCAAACTGTATGTTTTGTTCATCATGTAGAAGATATTGGAGCTGGGCTTCATAAGCCTCACAGAAAGCCTTCCAGACCCAGTCCACATCTCGTTGTTGAAGAGCATTGTCCAGGTTGGTCTTGGCTGAACAGGGCAGATAGGCCTGGCTCAGCTTTTCTCTGTCCAAGTTCAGAGACTCGATGGGTACAGGCATCCTGTAGGTCTGGAATTGGCGCGGCTGTACCGACCAGTCAAAGGTTGCTTGTACTGCTCTGTGATCTGTCTCAGCTTGGGCAGAGACTTGAAATCCAAGAAAAGATGGCGAAGCTGCAGAGTTGAATAAAACATAGTCGATCCGCGAGGAGTCTTTGAATGTCATCGCAGGTTCCTTGCCATCACGTTGTTGTTGTACAAGTGCAGCATCTTTCCATCCCAGTTCTTCCATTGATTGCCATACTGCCAGTTCTTGCACATTGCAGTTAAGGTCTCCCAAAATAATGGCTGGGCAGTCGAAGTCCATGGTTCTGTGGACTGCCTCCCGAAGAAGCTCTTCGTTGTGTAGGTCAGCATCTGGTAGTCCTTGGTGAAGTCCATATACTGCCACCACAAGAATATAACCATCTTGATGTACAACCAGGGCATCGACCACTCTCGCCGTATTCCAGTTGTCAGAGGTCCAAGCTCGAGTGAGTGGTCGAAGGGGAAGCGACGAAAGAATAGCAGCCCCACTCGCCTGGCCTTTTGTAACACATTGGCGATGATCTGCAAACGTCCTCTTGTCAACCGGCTTGCTGCACACCAGGTGTTTCTTTTTGGCATGGGCTTGCTTAGTCGCCTTCTGTTGCACAAAGGTGGTCGCTGCAGTCTCGGTGTAGGCAATGACCTCGGAATCGTTGCTGGCAAATCTTCCATCATCCAGAAAAGCATTCAAGGACTGTGTGTTGAGGCCTGTGATCCTCATTGGCCCAGGATTCTTTGCTTCACCAACTCGGGTCCCAAGCCAATCGTTGTGCTGCAAAATGCAGCAGGGCATTCTGTTCCACTCCATCATTGAATTATAGTGTGTAAATAAATTAAAGCCATAACCACTTTGTCCAGTCGTAACACCGTCATCCGCGTGGTGGTAGGCAGAAAAGAAGTCACTTGCACATCGGTCAGAGCAGTAGTTGTCGCCGTGTACCGAAAAACCGTCCAGAAGGAGTTCCAGACGAATTGGTCGGGCGCGTTGCTGTCACGCCCGTTGTTTCTTGGGCTCATCCTTCCCGGAGCCTTCCCTCTGTGGCGAGGGTGTTCTCTTCCGCAGGTGGCTCATCTGATCCTTGACTTCACCCATGAGCTCCTCCTTGAGGGTCATCTGTGCCATTTGGAAGTCCTTGTTGAGGTCCTGGCGGTTCGTCTGGAGGGCATT